ATCTCTTAACTGTTTTACATCATTGTAGTTTAGAAGCTAAATTTAATCGTCATGCAATTAGTATATATATGATATAAATGTTCACATGAAATTATTTGGGTTATGAAGTACGTACCCCTGTCTTTTTTTAAAATTTTGTAACTATAATACTATTATTCCTCTTTTATTTTTGTTCCTTTAAATTTGGATTGAAAATCCTGTTTTAGGTGCCCCATGTAAGCTATAGTTAGGTTCCTTGCCTTCATTTAACATTGTATATGTGTTAGCATGGATGTGTTAGCATGGAGCAGAGCTCCTTTTGTTGAATTGTTGTTGAGCATGATATTGTAGAAGTTTTGGGAGGTCCCATTTATGGGGAAGATGTCGCTGAAATTTCTATAAATAGCTTGTGACTGTTTATATGAAATGTATCAAAACTTTATATTTTGTATTGTGAGTTTGTCTATAAAATGCAAATGATGAATTTTATATATGCAAGGCTTAAGGGTAGTGGGTTCTCTCATATTTTGGGCCAGTTATACCTCAATTTTTGGAGTGTGACAAGAGTAGTGCTATGATCTGAATTCGAATGGTTGGTCATACATGACTCTTTTACTTTATAAGCTCAGACTCATCCCCCATGGTATGCAAAAGTATTGAACAACTGGCTTTCCTCTTATTGTCATACTTTTCATTCATTGCAAGGTAACCCTGATAATTCATCTATATGAATTTTGTTTGGTGTAGGCAAATTACTGATACCTATTGCACTGAGCATTCTCACTGTTTTCCAGAAGAGATTAGTTATGAAAGCTGGATTTATATTTTTGAACAGATGAGTGCACAGAATAGTCAGTTTGGCTTGGGTTTGAATGGAAAGACTTACCATAGGAGGTCTGTCAAACCATTGATTAGTGATGCTGAATTTCTTCTCAACTTCATCATGAGTACTTATTTGGGACCTGATGTCAAGTCTGATGAGCCTAGATGTTCAGCAGCTCAAAGACTAGGGGCAGGTTTGCCACCATATACTTTAAGTGCTCTGGGACCTTCATATGTTAGCATTTCTCTGCTGGAGAGATTATATTATTTTGTCCTGAGAGATGCTCAACCTGACCAAGTGTTAGAGAGAAATTTGCTGCATATGTATCTAAAGGGAGAGTTATCATTGCCTAGTTGTGGGTCAGTAGAGGAGTGTCAGCAGTTCACAAGTATTTTTCCTTTGAATCTTCATGAACAGATATGGTACCCTGATAGCTTCAGAATTGTTAAAGGGGTTGTTTTAATCATTGATCCAGTTGCGTCATACATGAAACAGGAGGATATTAAGAGATTCAAATATTTGACTGGTGTGAATAGTTTGAAGATTGATATAAATGCATGTCTACATGCGCAACTTGGTTCTCAAGCAGGCAAGGAAGTTGAACATAAGCACGTCAACAAAGATCAGACAACTATTTCAAATGAGGAATGCCCTCAGTTTCAACAAAAGCACAAGCAGAAGTGTATTCTTGATTCTCCGTCAATAACAGAATATCCTGGTGTATTTCCTATAAAACAGCATGGCAAGAGAGATCCTTCCAAGAGGGTTTGCAAATCCAATGGACCTACGTTGATGCCCGTTCTTCGTATTCCGGACGCAGAAGATTGTGATATAGATGCTTCTCTTCATTTAGCCGGGACAGCCAGAAGAGGATTATTAGGCCCACCTGTTGGTGTTGTGGATATTGGTATCAGCAAAGTCGCATATCTCTTCCGAGTTTCGTTACCTGGGGTGATGAAAGATCACGGTATCTCCCTCCCTCCCTCTCACACACACAATGTCTTCATCTATTATTGATCTTTCCTTCTCTCGTCTTTTGTTGCCCTTCATTTATTTTCCGGAAAGCTGCTTTTCCAAGATTGATGAACAGAAGATACTCCTTAGTTCGGAAGATATTAATACAGGAGGCTTTGGCCAAAAAAAAAGGAGGCCATGTTTTCTTAATTTTCTGCCAAAGGGCATCCATGTCAATAGTACGCAGCCTCTAATTTTGTAGGGCCTCATTTAAGTGTTTTGTTATATCATGAATGAACTCATTTTGTTGAGAACCTGTGAGTGGTTATGAATCTCAGAATTCTTAGCAGCGGCTATAGAGAACACATGTTAGTAAACTGTAAGTGAAGATCAGTTGTTATGCACTTTTAATTTTGCTTATTACAACTATCCATTCCAACACGTGTATTCAATCATGATTTTGTGTGTATCCTTAAGCAGTTGACTCATACATTCATTTTGATTAGTTTTTCAACTTTCAATTTACTTTGTAGCTAGTCAGTTCAATTGTGAGGTTGAATCCGATGGGAGGGTTCATATCCAAGGTTTGTTAAGTGGTGGAAGAACTATAAAGAAAAACTCACGTGTTTTCCAGATGAAAATCCAGCACTTATGCCCTCCTGGACCGTTCACCCTTTCTTTTAGTCTTCCGGGACCTGTTGATCCAAGACTTTTGGCACTTAACTTTAGGTCTGATGGCATATTTGAAGCAGTTGTTATCAAGCAGAAGTAACTGGCCTGAGTTTAGTAGCTGACTTTCCAGAGTAATCCTACAGCTCAGAACTCAGAATTCAGATTTTTCATATTTTAGGCAGAATCTAGGATTGACTCTGGCTGTTCCTCAATTTTAAAATGATGATGCAGTGACTTCTCTCTGTAATTATAAAGGGCTCGCCATGATCTAGCCAGTTGAAGTCATGATTTCATTTTAGCCTATCTCATCCCTAAAGGAGTTTGTCCTTGATGATTTAATATGCTTGGTGCCAAGAAACACTTGCAGTGTACCTAACCTGACCTAGCTTTGTGGTGGTAATCAATAATATGTAATCAGAGTAGCTTAATGTTGGAAATCAGAATTTAGGGCTCTTGCCAATACTATATGGAAAAGTAAGCCATTACATGAAATACCTTAAAGTTGGCATTCATTTGTAAGATTGACATCATAATAAAATGTCAGTAATGTTGAGAGGCTGAAACATGCCTTAGAAAATGTACGCGTGTCATTGTCTCATTTGCAGGATGAAGTGATGTTTGGAATCAAAAGGGAAATAAATGAGCTTCTAGGAAAAAGCCATGTTGAAGCAAAAGTTAAAATCTCGAGCGACTTCAGTTAGTCACGGGGAGGAAAAAGAAACAATAAATCTGATTTTTTTAGGGACAATGACCAAAAAAAAAGGTTGGAATTTTGTAAATGCCAAATAAAGAATATCAACAAAAATTTGTTGTTATTTGTAAATTTAGAATTGTCAATACTAAATAAAGTTGTGATACTAAATCTGATTTAGGATTTGTAATTTTCAGCTTCTTTTTCTGTTATTCTCTCATTTTTTATACAAATAAAAAGTTAACTAAAAATGTAATTATTTTAATTTATATGATATACTATTTGAACAGATTAAGAAAGTTAAATAAATTACTTAGTTATATTATATGTTATATGATTTCTCTAAAATACTTATGTGTATCATTATATTACATATGAGTTTAGAAGTCGTTTTAAAATTCATGTTCTTTGTCAAATTATTTTAGTCCAAATTTACTTTTTTATTATCCGCCTAAATAAGTTCTAATTTATCAAACTGATTTTTATAAAAGTCAGCTGAAGCATAAATCAATCCTAACTTATATTTGTAAAAATCATATAAAGTAAAAGTCATTTTTGCCATTGTCAAGGATGTGCAATGAATTATGTGAAGTCTCCTCTCTTCTCTTGCGTCCTCTTCTCCCTAACTAGTTACACTAACATTGTGACTGCCTGACTGGATCTCCTCTTCTCTTCTGCCACTCTTATTCTCTGTTTTCTAATATCTTTTGAGTAGAGATATGTTGCTTCCCTTTTATATTCTTGATCTTATTGAATATATCTGAGCTTAGAATTTCCATTATAAATCCTTCCCTCACCATTCCTTGCTTCTGAAAGTAGAAACCATGAATATATAATCATCATAAGTGCTCACAAAATACCTTTCTTCTCCTATCTCTTAACTCCATCACTTCTGTTCGTTATTCCCGTTCTCTCTCTCTCTCTTCTTCCATCTTTTGGCATCGACTATACAGTCTTTTTAGCGAAGCTCAACAAAGCGAGATCCCAGCTACGTGAAACTTATTTGGAAGACACAGCAGCATTTTCTTTTATGAGAGTCGTCAAACTCTTCCGTCATGTAGGGTTAATTTATCAAATAGAAAGGGATTAGGAATTGCGTTTTAACTAATTTAAGAGTTCAGATATTACATATTTAAAAATAAATATTCTCTAGTAGTTGGTAGCTCACATTAGAGTTGGAGCTTCAATTACTCACTGTCGTTGACCTTATTTTAATAAAATAAAAGCATTTTAGTCATTTTATATAAAAATATAATTTTACTTTTATTCCTAAATACTAAAATTCCGTAATGTTTTAGCCATTGAAATTCTTTGAACTTCCGTCGGTACTTGGTATTTACACCTCTCCGATTTTTTTTTTTTTCTCCAGCAAAGTCACTCCTATTGCTAGCATCAAATCTAATATTAGATGTTCTTCTGTTTTGTTGAGTGTATATTTTAAAAATAGAAGCAATATTTTAGCTTTATCCCACAACAATATTTTAGTGACTTAGTCATTTATAAACATGTTTTATATAAGTTGAAATAAAACTCTTCTTATATACTTATTTCGTATTCTGTAAATTACGATTGAAAAACTACTTATAAGCTATTTTAAATATGAGTGATTAACATATTTTAAATGGCAAGATGCGCTTCTGTACGCATGGCTAATCTTTGATAGGGTCAGGGGAAGATCAAAATTGACCATATCAATCCGACACAGTCAACCCCTTGAAATCCACAGGATTAAGATAATGCGGACTATTTCGTTTACGCTCCGTGATGATGCCTCTTGGGTCCCATTTACCATAATGTTTGGCTTCCACTCAACACATCCATGATTTTTCACATAAACAAGCAAAAAGCTCAAGTCTTTTCCCTCGCCCCTTTTCACCAGGCGAGCGTGGACTTGGGATTTCAATTCAAAAAGCTCGGCTTTTTTCCGCTTTTTCCTTTTTTCCTTCTCATCTTGTATTTATTCTATTCGTTTCTGTTACTACTTCGCTGTTGTGCTAATCAAATTTAGGAGCACGCAGAGTTTCTTTCTTTCCTTAGGGTTTTTTTTTTGGGGCCTTCTCTGTGATTTCCGGTCTCTTCTCTTCGATTTTCTTGAGATCTTATCAATTGTACCGTCATTGTAAGTGCTTCTCTCTCGCTAATACCGTCGAATTTTCGCCGTCTGCTCCGTGCACTGAGAATCCTCTAAATTTCATGAGGAGGACTTTTGCCTGTTTTTGGATATATGTCCATGTTGGTCTCTGATTACAGTGGCTGGGTATGCTTTCATTGATGTGACTTGATCGGTTATTGTGATGATGATAATTATTGTAAGCCTTTTCAAGGTAGAAGAAGCTTTCATTTGGTTGTAGAAGATCAGGATTGGGGTTTTCTGGTGTTGGGTGTTCTAGATATGATAAAGCAGATATTCGGGAAACGCAAGGCCCCAAAGTCATCCCACAGTGATTCGAACGGTGATGGAGGGGTTAATGGTGCATTGTCTGTGAACTCTTCGTTTGGGTCCAATTCCAATAGTGCCTTGAAATCCAATTCAGCTTCTTCAAAATCTTCAAATTCTCCTTCGGACGGGTTGCGGCCAGGTAATGGGATTCTCGCAACGAGTTCAAATAAAACAAATCATCCTAAGAAATCAGCTGCAGCTTCTACGACGCAAGTGGGTTCTGTAACGGCTCCTGGAGTTTATGAGGCATTGCCAAGCTTTCGTGATGTTCCTAACTCAGAAAAACAAAATTTGTTCCTTAAAAAGTTGAACATTTGTTGTGTTGTATTTGATTTTAGTGATCCTGCTAAAAATCTTAAAGAGAAGGACATCAAGCGGCAAACTTTGCTTGAGCTTGTTGAGTATCTTTCCTCTGTATCTTCGAAGTTTAATGACATAGCAATGCAGGAGATCACAAGGATGGTGGCAGCCAATTTATTTCGAACTTTACCATCTCCCAATCATGACAGTAAGGTAGCAGATCTGTATGATGTTGAGGAGGAAGAACCTGCTTTGGAACCAGCTTGGTCACATCTGCAAATCGTGTATGAATTTCTTTTTAGATTTGTATCTTCACCAGAGACTGATGCAAAACTTGCTAAAAGATACATTGATCATTCATTTGTGTTGAGATTGCTTGACTTATTTGACTCCGAGGACCAGAGAGAGAGGGACTACCTGAAGACTGTTCTCCACCGTATTTATGGAAAGTTCATGGTGCATCGGCCATTCATTAGAAAAGCGATAAACAATATCTTTTATCGGTTCATATTTGAGACAGAGAAACACAATGGAATCGCAGAGTTGCTAGAGATATTGGGCAGCATAATTAATGGATTTGCTCTGCCTTTGAAGGAAGAGCATAAGTTATTTCTTGTCCGTGCCTTGATTCCCCTTCACAAGCCCAAGTGTGTATCGATGTATCATCAGCAGCTTTCATATTGCATTACTCAGTTTGTTGAGAAAGATGTCAAGTTAGCTGATACTGTGATTAGGGGACTTTTGAAGTATTGGCCGGTGACTAATAGCTCAAAGGAAGTTATGTTCCTCGGTGAATTGGAGGAAGTCTTAGAGGCCACCCAGCCAGCAGAATTTCAGCGTTGTGTGGTTCCATTATTCCGTCAGATTGGTAGATGCCTCAACAGCTTACATTTTCAGGTATTGTTTTTACTTTCCTTCCCACTTCGTAATTAGCACTTCTAGTACGAATCATCTTTGTGGCTCGATTTATTTTAGTTCCGTTACTTTGTCTTCTCTACCTTTTTCTTTGTGATTGCATGCTTTGCACAGCTAAAGGTGGGACAACCTCTTGTCTACTTTTTGGAGCATGAGAATTTGCTGGTTGTCAGCATTTTCTGGGAAATGGAAATATTTGGAGAATTTCTTGTGGGGCCTTTCATCCTGTTGTTGAGCACTTGAGCTTATTATTCTTTTCTTCCCACCCAAGCGCATATCGAACCCAAAATCAATGTGTACATGTATTTGGCTTCACAGCCAACTTGTTTTGGACTCCTTCTGTTTCTTCGCTGTATTCTGGAGCATGAGAATATGATGGGGATAATATGTGGGATAGATGAAGAGTAGAAGGCATGTGCGTTAGCAGCTTTTATTGCTGGTCACAATGAAGCTGTTTCCATACCTATGTCTTTTTCACAAAATACCTGGAGTATGTTTCAGCTTCGTCTTTTTTTCTTTTCTTTTCTTTTCTTTTTTTTTTTAAAAAGAAAAAAGAAAAAGAAAAAACTTTCCCTGTCCTTTCAACTTTGAATCAGGCTTACTGGCTTAGTATGTGCAGGTATTTCACTTTACAATGTTATCTCCTTGTTTGTTAGTTGCGTCTTTGGGAATCTTATAGATCAAAGAGGAAGCATACTTGGCTTGGTTTGGCAGCAGCAGCCTTGACTCTATACATGGAAGCATACTTGGATTGTGGTATTTGATAGATTTAACACAACTGACCTGTTACTTATCAAGACTTGAGAGGTCCAGCAAAGTCTTTTCTCTTGATTTGGTGTGATTTTATTTGGATATTCAGAAAATAGCGGTTATTCTTTCTTTGTAAGGCTCCATGTTGGTTCTGGAACCTAGTACTTCATGATCGTGTTACTGAGAACAAAAATCAACTGATTGCTGTATTAATAGGTTGAAAAACTAGTATTTCCACTCTGATATGCCCGTGTGCCTGTCAATACTGAGGTTGTAGTATACCATGAAATGGTAAGGAACTATGTCTATTTGCTTAGGCTTATGTAACTCTGGTGATCTACAGTATCAATTTCCGAGTCTTGTGGGTGAGTTGTGTAAATTTATTATTCTTGGAGAAGTTTGACCGTTGACCCTATTGCAGTGGTTTTCTCATAGAAAATAGTCAAGCTCGCATTCACTTTTCTATATTCTGCTGTGGTGAGTGCCACACTAAACCAGACCCGTGGCAGCATTAGGTAATATTCTTCAAGTTCTACTACTCCATGGCAGGATGGGATACAATTTCGCAGAGACAGCATATAATTTCACGAACTACTTTCATGTGCGATCTTCTTTAGAAGTTTGCGGACTTGTAATCTTAGGTTATGCTATTTGGCCATGAGGACGATGTGAATCTTGAAAATTATTATGAGCAAGGTATTTGTTCATGAAATTTGGAGGTATCCATAATTGGTTTGAGAAGAGAAAAGGGAGAGGTTTTTTTGGGCGTATGCAATTATTGAAGATTTTTGTTTGGTCTGACAAACTGGAGAAAAATTAAGGAACAAGTAGGCATTTACCTTTACAACTCCTTTGGGTTCCTTGAAATGAAGCTTTCAAGCAGATTTAGTTGGATAATCAAGGAGGGGTCATGTCAATATTTGAGTGAGTTTCAGTTTAGGCCATTCTGTTATGAGGAAGGCTTATAAGGACAGGAAGATTTGGCCTCTCAAAGGCTTATAATAACTCCATGGGAAAAGTCATGGAGTGGATTTGAGAGATAGCTAGCATTGTATAATATTTTCTTCATATTTTGTCATGTTTATGTAAAGGCATCTGTCATTGGTGATTTGCCTGGATTTTTGTCATGTTAATTCCATTATATTTTCATATCGTTCTTGGAGTGTCGTTAGGTTCTTGATGGAGGACAAGAACCAAGAGATGAACTGTAGAAGGGACTTGGAAGAGACAAAGGAAACTATGAAGGGTACTCCATAGTATACAATGCTAGCTACGTGGAAAAGGAACCTACCAGAGACCAACCATTAATGCTGCATCCACGTCCAAATGTATGGCAGGAAGTGAAAAGAGTGGGTAAATAGAGGACGAACCTACCAGAGAATAAACATTAATCCTTCGTCCATGATTGGATGTCTCAGCTGAACTGGAAGCTAAAGAAGATCTGAATTCTTACATGTAGTTGAAGAGAAGTCTAAAAAAAAGGTATGACCAAATTGAGGAACACGCCATTTCTAGAAGCTTTGGTTGATTTATTTCCTTGTCAGGAACAATCAGAAGAAAAGTTGAAGGAAGAGGTTATTGCAATGTCAGTATCAAAATATCCAGATGGATTCTACTTGTATGACTCTAAATAGCTAGGAGGAGAGAGTAGGGGCAAGAGTTGAGGACATCAGTCGTTGATGGAAGAAGGAGGGGGGGCAGATGGATCTTGCACCAGTTTTGGTGAATTAAGTGGGGAAGAATTCCATTTTTGAAATGCTTATTTTGGGGCCTTATTAGGGAGTACCGTACAACAGTAGCTTTGCCCAATTAGCTAATCAATCCTGTATCTAAACCTGCAAATGCATGTATGGTGTTTCCAGCTTATTAAAGTTTCGAAAGCTCATGATTTGGAAATTTGAGAGGAATGGAGGTTGCAATTAAGAAAATAAGAATTAGTGGTTTTACTGGAAAATTATTAAAAGCAAAGGTGGTTACAGGCCAGAGGCAGTAATTCAATCAATTTGCCACCATCTGATTGTGGTGGCCCTTCATGATAACTTTAGGTAATTCAAGCGGGCAATTAACCAAATAAAGAGGTAGGGATCATTAAGGAATATTCTCTTGAGGATGGATGGTATTTTGCCAGCATAAGAAGCTTGTAATGGCAACAAATAATGCAGGAAGCTATTGGCAGGGAATTTCCGTTTTCCAAGGAATTCAACATAAGTATTGTTTTATCCAAATGCCTAAATATGTTACTTTTAAGATTATCCTCCCTCTGGTTCTAAGTATAAGTTCAATGTTTTAGTAAAGCTGGTCCTTTATATTAATTACACTTTGTATTTAATTCATTTCTCTGAAAATTTAATTCATTCTTTCCAATTTTACCCTCAATTAATTACGTCTTTCTAATCTTCCCCCCTCATTAATTCTCTCTCATCTCTTTTCCCGTTCATTCTCTCTCTCAATCACCCTTTTCATAAATAAGGGTATAATTGGGGGGGGGGGTAGCATTTCTACATATTTATTGCTTTTAATCCATTTTAACCAACTTTTGGATTTACGTAATTCAGTTACTTGTAACTTATATATAGCACCAGAAGGAGTAATCCAAGTGTCTGCAT